CAACTGTAATGCATGCAAATTAATGGGGGGAAAGTTGCTCTAAAAAACATAATTGGTGTTCCTTTTTTTTTTTTTTTTTTTTTTTAAATGCCCGTAGGGGGAACCAAAAGTGGAAAACATAAGTGAACCAACGGTAAGAAAGCACACACAGAGTAGATATTGCATCTGGTACTAATTTCTAGAGAGTGACGTTGAGGTAAAGTTGTTAGAAATGTCGCTTATAAATATATTGGCAGATGTGATTACCGTGTGCTTTTCTGTTTTCAATACAGTCTTTGTTTTTTTTTTTTTTTGTCTGCAGATTGAGATTTTCGAAAGGTCGTATTTCACGGGCAAATCAAGGATCCTCACCTCGAACATGAAAGATTTCATGACACGGGTGGACAGGCAGCAGGGCGCCTTCATGTACTCTGTGGGCTCCCTCAAAGTGCGCGGAGGAATGTGAGTTCCGGGTGAAAACGGTTGCGGGCCTCATCATCATCCTTGTCGCCATCGCAATACGTTGATTGCATTTCTTCAACCTGTGCGTGTGCGTGCGCGCATGTGTGTGTTAATGTAGCTGGGTGGGCTATGAGAAGGAAGGATATCGAGGCCACCAGTACCTGCTGGAGGAGGGCGAGTACCACGACTGGAGAGTGTGGGGAGGCTCAAACTCTGAGCTGCGCTCCGTTCGGGTCCTCCAGGCTGTAAGTTGGAAGGGATATATATATTTTTTTTATTCTCAAACCTCACCCATGAGTTTTAATATCTAATGATTTTTTTTTTTAATTGTAAGTTTGCAAAAGGTGGAAAGGCTTGCGATATTGTAATCAGGTGAAGGTACAACCGAAAAGTACAGGGCTAGAAATTTACTTGGATTAAAAATTTTAAGTAACTGATTTAAAACAACTTTTTGTTAAAATTTTTTTAAAGTAGCATGTACTGTGTTTCGCAACAGCAGAAAAAAATGGGACAAGTTTCAAAGTACAGTTTCTTTCATGAGGCCTCATAATGAAGCAACTGTACGTTTTTTCTCCTTTCAGTAAAAAAAAAAGAACGAAAAACATACTCGTGTCAATGCAAATAAAATTGACACATTAAAAAAAATGAAATCAATTCACATATATTAAAATTAAATTTTTGCAATGCATTTTTTTAATCCCCTATTGTCAATATTTTTACTTTTCAGGCACTTGAAGCAACTATACTTTCTTTCTCCTTTCAGTAAAAAAACAAAAATAACCAAAAACAAAAACATACTGTGTCAATGCAAATAAAATTGACACCATTAAAAAAAAATGAAATCAATTCAAATATATTAAAATTACGTTTTTGCAATGCATTTTTTAAATCCCCTATTGTCAATATTTTTACTTTTCAGGCACAGTCCAGTTTTAGTTGAACATTCAAATTCGCATTCAATCTTGAAATAGAAACCTTTTGGGTTGGCTGTCAACGACTTACAGATTTTTTTTTTTTTTTTTAATATTTTCGGGGGGGTTCCCCCCCCCCCCGGGTTTTGGGAGCAAATGTGAAGCGATTGTTGAAGAATTGCGTTGACACGCCGCCTCCCAGGTGGGTAGCCTACTCCCATGTGGACTTTTCCGGTAACCAATACATCCTGGAGAAAGGCTTCTATAGTACGAGTGCCGACTGGGGTTCCCGTGACACTCGCATCTGTTCCGTGCAGCCAGTTCGTTTGGTGAGGCCAGCGAGAAGCTGAAGATGATTGCCTGTATGTTAAAGTGCAGCTGCGGGGGATGAATATTAATTTTACCTTGTTTGGCTTTTAGGCTCCAGCTGACGGTAACAGGACCAGAAATGAGGTGAGTCTTTTAATTTTTCCCAACTTATTTTTAACAGCACCTTGTTCAATGTTCTAAATAACTCAAACGTGTGTATCACAGAACGTTATTGCGTTGATCGTATTCGTGTGTGTGGATTGATGTTGCCGGGGCAACTCATGCAAACGTCGTCAAATCTGATCCTACACTTTTTTTTTTTAATCCGACCGCCATGGTCTCCGCATCTCAATTTGCCTTTCTCAGATACTATTGTACTCAGAACCGGATTACAAGGGAGAGTGCCGTATCTTCAACTACAAAGAGGAAGCCGCAACAGAAGAATTCCAGACCAAGTCCTGCAGAGTTGTTGGAGGAAGGTGAGAGATTTGAAACCCACCACGATGTACACAAAGAAGGAATCTGTTGAGGTCTAAAATTAAATTCATCATCTTTTTTTTTCTCAGCTGGGTTCTCTATGAGAATAAAGACTTTTCAGGGACCATGTATGTCTTATCAGAAGGAGGCTATCGCTCATTAACAAGCATGGGCTGCCCACCAAACACCTTCATCCGCTCCGTCAAGGCTGTGCCGATGGTTGGATGAATTTATACACAAAATATTGATTGGATCTCTTCTGGCATGACTCTCAAGCTCCATCTCTCTTTGAGCAGAGTTTCTCAGTTCCATCCATCTCATTGTTTGGACTGGAAGGGCTGGAGGGAAGGGAGATCTCAACAGACTCTGAGCTTCTCAACATGCAAGCGGAGGGCTTCAATGACCACGTCCTTTCGGTCAGAGTCAACAGTGGCTGGTAAGATAATTTGTGGGTGTTGAAGGGAAGGAGATGAACATGAATAAAAGTAATAATACATTTTCTGAGGATTTCTGTTTTGTTGCTGTCGAATTGCATGAATTTAGAAGTGAACCGGGATTTAATATCTGATCATGAGGAGGTGCGGGAAGTGGGTGGAACTGAGATGTTGGGTTTCTTGGAGAGGTAGTGTTAGCGATGAAAGAGAATGCCATGTATATATTTTTTTAACCCAAAATGGCACAAAGGTGGAGGAGTGGGATGATGACGAGCAGGGGCCACAGGACAGAGCCCTGGGGCACACCTGAAGTGAGTGGGAATGGAAGAAAGGAAATTGAGCTGAATAGACAGAGTGCAGTCTTTGAGGTCTGAAGCAGTCCAGGGCAGTGTGAACGAATCCGGTATTAGTGATGCCACTGGAGGAGAGTATATTGAGGGGTATGCACGACTGTTTTGAGACAGAAAAAAAGGAAGAAAGACGGAGGTCCTTTTCTCAAAACATTGTGAAGCTAATTTAGCATGATCAATTAAAGATCAGCATTCAAACATAATTGCCGAGGGAAAAAAACATTTAGATCTCAGTTCGGTGTTATCTGTGACAGGAAAAAAAGTTATTCGTACATAGCTGTGATCATATTTTATGATTTAAATAAATGATATCTTATAAAACTCACATTTCTATGCAAATGTTTGGTTTGGGGGGGTGTTTATTTGTGTCGAATGGCCCAGATCCACACACATCTAATTTCTCTGATGACATTTGGTCTTGCTTTTTTTCCAGCTGGGTGCTATTTGAATTTGGCAACTATAGGGGGCGCCAATTCCTTTTGGAGCCGACAGGGTGAACCGGGACTTAATATCTGATCATGAGGAGGTGCGGGAAGAGGGTGGAACTGAGATGTTGGGTTTCCAGGAGAGGTAGTGTTAGCGATGAAAGAGAATGCCATGTATATATTTTTTTAACCCAAAATGGCGCAAAGGTGGAGGAGTGGGATGATGACGAGCAGGGGCCACAGGACACAGCCCTGGGGCACACCTGAAGTGAGTGGGAATGGAAGAAAGGACATTGAGCTGAATAGACAGAGTGCAGTCTTTGAGGTCTGAAGCAGTCCAGGGCAGTGTGAACGAATCCGGTATTAGTGATGCCACTGGAGGAGAGTATATTGAGGGGTATGCACGACTGTTTTGAGACAGAAAAAAGGAAGAAAGACGGAGGTCCTTTTCTCAAAACATTGTGAAGCTAATTTAGCATGATCAATTAAAGATCAGCATTCAAACATAATTGCCGGGGGAAAAAAACATTTAGATCTCAGTTTGGTGTTATCTGTGACAGGAAAAAAAGTTAGTCGTATAGCTGTGATCATATTTTATGATTTAAATAAATGATATCTTATAAAACTCAAATTTCTATGCAAATGTTTGGTTTGGGGGGTGTTTATTTGTCTCGAGTGGCCCAGATCCACACACATCTAATTTCTCTGATGACAACATTTGGTCTTGCTTTTTTTCCAGCTGGGTGCTATTTGAATTTGGCAACTATAGGGGGCGCCAATTCCTTTTGGAGCCGACAGAAATCACCAACTGGCCCAAGTTCAGCTCTGTGCAGACGATTGGCTCACTGTATCCAGTCAGACAGGTCTGTCAACAAGTCATCTCCTATTTATGCATGACATCTCGGCTGTCACGTTGGCGCATGTGTTTTTGACTGAATTCTGATTCCTATCCGTAGAACGATAAAAGATAATCACTAAGGCGCTTCAGTTCATTCCAAAACAGAGTTGTTGTTTTTTTGACGCAGTTCGATTAAAAAGCTTATCTTTTGTAAGTCCTTTTTGCAGTATGTCTTCCTGGTGTCATAACAGTACAATGCTGTGATATTTTTTGCAGAAGCGGCACTTTTTCCGCATCCGGAATGCAGACAGCCATCACCTCATGTCGATCCAGGGCGGGGTGGAAGAGCTGAAGTCCGGACGGGTGGTGGTCACACCAGAGGCGGAGCCCATGAGTGACATTTGGTTCTATCAGGATGGACAAATCAAAAATAAGGTCATTACTTGAACATGTACCTTGATATTTAAAAAACTAAAAAAATATTTTGCACACATGTTACTGACTCATGCTGAGACCGTCACTGACATTTTGCCGTTTGCTGTAGCTTTCCCCCATCATGAGTCTTCAAGTGATGGGCAATGTTGAGCCGGGAGCCAAATTGGTTTTATGGAACGTGACCCGGCAGCCCTCCCAGACTTGGATGGCCCAGATGAGAGGTCGACTCAGCAGCATTACATACCCTGGAATGGTCGTTGATGTCAAAGGTATAAACATATAAATGTATTTATTTTTTTGGACTCAAATGTCAACTGTACGAATATGTTAAGTGTTTGTTTTTATTCAAAGAGTTGTTCATGTTATCACTGACCTAGTTGCACCCCCCCCCATGTATTTATTAATTTTTTAATTTATTTTCAGGTGGCCAAAGCTACGATAAGGACCATGTAGTGATTATGCCAGAGAGTGACGAGAGGTTAAGCCAACAGTGGGAGATTGTACTGATCAATTAAGCCGCCACAGACGTGTTGCTCACTTTGGCAAAACTTCCACCCACATTAACAGGCTATCCCGCCCCCCCAAAATCCCCGGAACCAAGAGCAATCCCATGCGTCACTTTTTATTAATTTTATCGAAACCCGTTGTATTCATCATGCCGCTCCCCAAAGAATATTCTATGTTTGTGGTTTGTAGTATACAGAGGACGGGAAGAAGTATTCACACGTAGCTTGTGGGGGTAAAAGCTTCAGACTTTACCATGTTACTTTTCTGATACCTGCAGTGTACAATTGCACACTCCACTCAACTAATGCTTAAAATGGACAGCTGAGAGATAAAGCCAAAGAATGGACGGTATGCAAAATACTTAAAAGCTATTTTTATATTGTGTCAAAATGTTTTATGGTGTTCCTCATCTCGATGCAGCGTATTGTATACGAGTTTGTGGGATATGTATGTCTGTTGCTATTTTTTTTTGTGTGTGTGAAACTGCTACAGAGAAATATGTACCGAGATATCGATATATACATATATAGAGAGAGAAAGAGATTAATAATACCTGCAAAAATTACATGTTCTTTGATACTAAAGTCATAATATATAAAGGAGGGTGTGTTTTTAAAATGCTAATAAAATTTAAACGCTGTCAAAGCGAAGAAAAGAAAAGTTGTGGTCATTGGGTTCACAAAACAGAACAAAAATATTTTGCACATATGTTACTGACTCACACTGACATTTTGTCGTTTGTAGCTTTCCCCCATCATGAGTCTTCAAGTGATGGGCAATGTTGAGCCGGGAGCCAAATTGGTTTTATGGAACGTGACCCGGCAGCCCTCCCAGACTTGGATGGCCCAGATCAGAGGTCGACTCAGCAGCATTACATACCCTGGAATGGTCGTTGATGTCAAAGGTATAAACATATAAATGTATTCATTTTTTTGGACTCAAATGTCAACTGTACGAATATGTTAAGTGTTTGTTTTTATTTAAAGAGTTGTTCATGTTATCACTGACCTAGTTGCATCTCCCCCGCGCCCCCAATGTATTTATTTATTTTTTTATTTATTTTCAGGTGGCCAAAGCTACGATAAGGACCATGTAGTGATTATGCCAGAGAGTGACGAGAGGTTAAGCCAACAGTGGGAGATTGTACTGATCAATTAAGCTGCCGCAGACGTGTTGCTCACTTTGGCAAAACTTCCACACACATTAACTGGCTACCCCGCCCCC